TTCAGGGCTTCTACTCTAACTCATTTGGGAACAATGTGGGAGGACAGCATGGAACACAGGCTTAGCAAAAGGACTATCTTAACCACCATAACTTCACTGTTAAAGCACTTGAGATTTACAGATTTTTGAAAACAATCAAAGGTCCTGAGCTGCACTTTCCCCATGTCTGGTCTCGCCTCTTCTGTGAGGCAGAGGTCTATGAGCATTTCAGCATCTCTTGCCCTCTATCTAATATGTCCTTATTACACATGGCAATGGTCAGCCCACCTGGACAGAGCAGTACTCTGCTTTTAAAGTCTCTTGTCTCCTTATGTGTGCAACTGGAATACTTCAGCCTCCCCAGCCAGCTGTAGAAAAATAACTGTTCCATAGGGGTAGGTCAGTAGTTCAAAGTCAACAGCCTCAGAGCGTAATCCTGATGACTTCCCAGTAATAGTCCTTCAGTGAGGAGTCAAGCACCTACATAAGAACACCCATACTGTTCAGACTAATGGTTCATTTAGCCCAGTATCTTGTCTTCTAATAATAGCCAAAGCCAAGTGCTTCAGAGGGAATGGACAGAACAGACAACCATCAAATAGTCCATCCCCCGTCATCCACTCCCTGCTTCTGCAGTCAGAGGCTAGGGTCACCCAGAGAATGGGGCTGCATCCCTGACCATCTTGGCTAATAAACAGCCACTGATGGACCTGTCCTCCACGAACTTACCTAATTCTTTTTTGAACCCAGTTATAATATTGGCCTTCACATCTCCTGGCAACGAGTTCAACAGGTTGACTGTATGTCGTATGACAAAGTACCTTCTTTTCTTTGTTTTAATCCTGATGCCTATTAATTTCCTTGGATGAACCAAGGTTCTTGTATTATGTGAAGAGGTAAAGAACACTTCCTTATTTACTGTCTTTACACCAGTCATCATTTTATAGACCTATCATATTCCCCCTTACCAGTCTCTTTTCTGAGCTGAAAAGCCCCAGTCTTTTTAATCTGTCCTCAAATGGAAGTAGTTCTATACCCCCTAATCATTTTTGTTGCCTTTCTCCATACTTTCCCCATCAACACTTCCAATATATTTTATTTGAGATTGGAGCGACCACAACTGCATGTTTCCTGGGCAGGGCTACTATGTGAAATGCAGTTCCATAGGCTTGCTTGGGGAAAATTTAGACATATGTTCATATACATATGAATACAAATGGAGCTCAAAACTATGAAGATTCCACAACCTCCCTATGAAATTTATTCCAGTGCATAACCACTCTGGCAGTTAGACAGCTTTTTCTAATGTCCAACATAAACCATCCTTGCCGCAATTGAAGACCTTTGCTTCTTCTCCTACCCTCAGAGGTTAAGGAGAACAGGTTTTCCTCCCTCCTTCTTGTAACAGTTTTCAAGTACATAAAAGGTTATGTCGCCTCTCGGACTTCTCTTGTCCAGAAGAAACAAACCCTTTTTTTTTTTTTTCTCTCATAGGACACGTTTTCTAGACCTTTAATCATTTGTGTTACTATTCTCTGGACTTTCTTCAATTTGTCCACATCCTTCCTAAAATGTGGCACTCAAAACTGGACACAATACTCCAGCTGAGGCCTCATCAGCGCAGAGTAGAGCAGAAGAATTACTTCCCGTGTCTTGCTTACAACATTCCTGCTAATACATCCGAGAATTATGTTTGCTTTTTTTGCAACAGTGTTACGCTATTGACTCTCGGGTAGCTTGTGATCCACTGTAACCCCCAGATCCCTTTCTGCAGTGCTCCTTCCTAGGTAGTCATTTCCCATTTTGTATGCGTGCAACTGACTGTTCCTTCTTAAGTGGAGTACTTTGCATTTGTTCTTATTGAATTTCGTCCTATTTACACCAGATCATTTCTCCAGATCATTTTGAAGTTTAATCCGATCCTCCAAAGATTTTCAACCCCTCCCAGTTTCGTATGCTCTACAAACTTTATACGTGTACTCTCTCTGCCATTATCTAAATCACTGATGAAGGTATTTAACAGAACCAGATGCAGAACGGATTCCTGCGGGACCCCACTCAGTATGCCCTTCCAGCATGACTGTGAACCACTGGTAACTACTCTCTGGGGATGATTTTCCAACCAAGCTATGCACCCACCTTACAGTTGCTCCATTTAGGTTGTTTATGAGAAGGTCACGCAAGACAGTATTAATTTTGGCCTGGTATTAAAATTTCTAGAAGCCTTCCTTTGTCAGACTACATTACTTATGCAAAAAGAGAACAAATTTTCTCTGCAAGGACAATATGATAAGCCATTATCTAGCAGGCATGTGTCTTTGTTTTAACAGATCCCATATTAAGCAGAAACTAAAGGGAAATAAGATCAGTATTTCTGTTCACTCAGGTTTGAACTCTGATGACCTTTAGTAAACCTCTCGTTTTAAATCAATTTTTGCCTTGGTGTCATTTGCAGAATGATAGATACAACATATAACAGTCAACATTTAAATAAGTCATTCAAGCTAACTAAATGAAGACACTCATCACCAATACTTCTTTACCTAGTACTGTTTTTAGTACCATAATAAATCAAATCTGTTTCTCTCCAAATGTTGATTTTTTTAAAAAAAAGTCACCTTCAACCAAAAAAGAAAAAAACCCACAGAAATTTCCCTCTGAAAACATTGTATGTGTCATAATTATACGTAACCCTTCAGACAACTAGAAAAGTAATTCACCTGGGTTTGCCAGTTTAATTATATTGTGCATTTGACTTCACTTTGTATTTAGTCCACTCATGCTCTAAAACAACATGTACCAGGGGATCTCGCCCTCATTAGATAATGATAATAATAAAGGATTGCAGGCCAGTCCAAGAGAAAGGCAGGAGTTCCCATTCACTATTGAATGCCTGTTCACTATTTATCTCTTGCACAACCAAAACTTGCACATAAGTATGTGTGCTGAACTTATAGTCAAGCGCTCCTGTCAGTTAAATGTCAATTTCAATTCTGTCTCTCAGGCTGTACAAGAGAATGCTGAGAAGTTAACAAGAAGTTTGAGAGCACAGCAATGGGCCAGACAGCGAACTCTTGTATTTGCTTTGAATTTAGGTGTTCTGCATGAGAGCTCACTGCGTGAGATGTCAACTCTAGTTCTGGCAAATTTGCAGTTTTAATAAGTTTGTAAAATTCACTTTACAGCAAGTTTTCCCTTGAATGCCATTAAATCAGATGATTAACCACAAAACATTCTCACCTCTGACAACTTTTGTTTGTGAGATGGCTTACTGATGTGTCACATTACAGTCTCTAGTCCAACAACCATTTAAGACAGCAATTGACTCGAGCACATTTTTAAAAAAAGTGGGCTTTGTGTCATAAATTCAAGGACAGATCACTCCCTTTTCAGAAGTGACTGCATTTTTCCTTACCAAGTTCTGTGTGCTGTATTACAATTCTTTGCGAACAAACTCAATAAATGTATATATCTGATAGAATGTGTGTCATCAACTGAATACAGCACCCAAATACCCACAAAATATTCCCAGAATCAAACAATTCAAATAGAACTTTCTTTTGAAAAAGGTATCTTGCCACAAGAAGAGTGAAAGGAGTAATAAGTAGAACGAGTTAACTGCATACCAGCTGCCCTAACGCTGAATCATTCCCTAAGTCAGAAACTCCACAGTTCTTAGAACATCATCTCCATGTGTCGAGGATTTCCAGTACCACCCTGGTGCTTTCAGTTAAAAAAGAATAATAAATAATAATAATAATGCATACCACCACACTCAAGGGAGACAAAGAGTACCCCACACAGCCACACAACATAGTACAGGTTTCAGAGTAGCAGCCCTGTTAGTCTGTATTTGCAAAAAGAAAAGGAGGACTTGTGGCACCTTAGAAACTAACATATTTATTTGAGCATAAGCTTTCGTAGCTAACACATTTATTTGAGCATAAGCTTTCGTGAGCTACGAAAGCTTATGCTCAAATAAATATGTCAGTCTCTAAGGTGCCACAAGTCCTCCTTTTCTTTTTGCAACATAGTATAGTGCACATCAGGGAAGTCTGATTGTCTAATTTATTATCTAATTTATTTATTTGTCTAATTTATTATCCTATGACCCAAAAGTACATTTCTGTACGTTTCAGTTTTGTTACTATTTGAGAGAAGTAAGGAAAACCCTCAATCACTATAATTTTGTAGGGGACAAAAGGCAACCTTGAAGGGCTTTGGGGACACCAAATATGTGACAAGTCCTGAAATACAAACCTTCAGCTTAAAAAGCAAAGAGATGCCCCCAGGGGCTGCACGTTATGGAAGGTAAATGGTGAGAAGGCAGCTTTTTGCGCCGGGGGTGGGGGGGTGGGAGAAGAGTTGTGCATCATACACAGCAGATGGGGTCGGTGGGGAGGGGCGGCGGGAATTCCTAACCCACAGTAAACTGTGGGCGCCTTTGGAAGGGGCGGGGAGAGGGAAATGAACAACAAGAGGGGCAAGCAGAAGGAAGCATGGCCTTGCCTACTGCCGTGCAAGCAGCAAGAGGCGGCGATGGAGGGGGGGGGAGACAGCGGGGTTGGGGGACCTGGTCTAACGCTTCTAGATCCCAGGGCTTGTTTCCCCGCCCCCCAGCCACGCAGCCCCGGGGAGCTGCTGGACGTGCAGCCCCCGCGCACGGAGTTCGCGCTGCCGGAGCCCTGCACCCTGGCAGAGGCCGGAGGGGGGGGAAGGAGGTTGCAGGAAAAAGCGGGGCGGCGGCCACAAACTTTGCCACGCTCCCAGCTACGCCCAAAGCCGCAATTTTGGGCCAAACTTTTCGCTTTCCTCACCCGCCCGAGGCTTGGGCAGGCAGCTAGAAAGGGGGGTGGGGGGAGGAAGGTGTCACCGGAAACAATCCCTCCCCGCCCAGCCAGCAGCAGCGCCCGCTCCGCGGCCACCCCGGCATTGTTCCCAGCCGCCTCCCTCCCCGCGCGGCGGGGCCACCCCCAGCCCCGGGCCAGCCCCCCTCCCCGCGGGCCGGTGCCGGCACTCACCCCTGCCGCCAGCCCGGCGCCCCTCCGGCCCGCAGGCGCCTTGCGCGTCCCTCTGGCGCCCGCGGAGCCGCGTTGGCTGGGGCCGGGCTCCGGGGAGCGTTTCCAGGGCAGAGGGCTGCTGGGTGGGGGCCGGGGGCGAGCCTCCTCCCTGGGCTGCACGGCAAGCGGGGCAGCCTCCCCTGCCAGGCAGCGCGCATCCACACACACACAGCTCGCTGCCCGCCCTCCGCCCTGGCTCGCTCTGCTGCAATGGCTGGGAGGCTGACTTTCATCCTCCCCTCCCTCTCCACCCAGCTGAGCGCAGCCCAGTCCCTCCCCTCTCCATGCCGCTCAGCTCCTCTGCCAAGTTTCTGCTTAACCCTTTCCTGGCCCCTCCCGCCACCGCGAGGGAGGGGCGGAGAAAGGGAACTTCCCCTGCCTCCTGCTCAGCAGGGCTGCCACGCAAGCTGGCTCTGTTTGCGTAAGGGAGATGATAGGACACGGTGGTAAATGGCTCCCAGGGAATAAATCTTGCCTGAAATCGAGCATCCAAAGAGAGGAAAGGCGTCCCTGGGAGTGAGACTGGAAAGGGCCAGTCCTGCCAACCCCCAGCACTCCAAAATCATGGAGCCAGGGCCCCCAAACCCCCTCAGATTGGTTAAAACAAATGAGTTTTTAGAAAATAATAAACTTGGGGTTCTTTCTCGTTGCCTTCTTGGTTTTGAGACTTTGGGGTTCTCCAATCACATGGCTTCAGAAGCTGGGATTGAAGGAAAGAAAACAAATATGGTGAGTTGCTCTGTAAGTTCTCCAGAGTTGACAATAGTGATGAAGGGAGCGCAGGAGATTAGAACTGCGTCCTTCCTTTCCCAAGTCCTGCCCACTGAACCAGCATTTTCACTGCTAGACGAAACTCTTGTTATTGGCCTTGAATCTTTGCCTTTAGTTCAAATATTTCAGTGAAGGGGTACTGTGGTAGTAACGCTCATCGCTAAGGTTGAGCAAAGCTTTGTGTTTAACTTACTCAGGGCTACCAAATATTTTGCGATGTGCTGTCCAAACCTATGTGAAGAAGACACTTTCCCTGCCCCCCAAGGAATTACAATCTAATGTCTAATTTCTCTTGCTACAGGTATTCTAGTGCCGTTCTTGGAAAAAAGTTGAAGATAGATATGGGATATGCTGCTGCTTTATTTGTTTTATATATGTGCAAAACCACAAAATGTCTGACCTTGGTCACATCCTATCTATACAAACAGAGTGCTTGTGCTTAGAGTCTGCAAACATAACAAATGGGTTTATAAGTACTTTGCAGCACACTTTAAGATTTTTATGCACACAGCAAAAAACATGGTAATCCTTGCCTTTTCTAAATCAACACAATGTTTGCCTTTTTAAAAACAAAGTATTAAAGGAGGAAAGAAAACAATACATTCACAACTACATACAAGCAAATAACCATCAAAAACACAGGCAAACATTCTAGAGATAAAACAGACCCAAAAATACACATTTAAACAAAAACCACAAAGAAACTAACAAATGACTATATTCAAACTTTTTTTTAAATAAACAGACATATCTAATAATATAACTATACAAATAGCATCTGGATTCCAGTTTAAAAAACAAAAGAGAGGGGCACATGGCTAACGCCAAATATTTCAATCTACAGACTAATGAATGAAACAGGATGTTGAAATATTAAGCAAAATCTCTTGCACTTTGGAATGTAGGAATTGTGTACTAGCAGAACTAATAATGTATTAATTGACCTATTTTTTTAAGCCAATGAGAGATTTGGCGAACTTCATCATCTTGTGTTTTTAACCACATTTTTTAAGAGGCACCAGTATTTTCTAAAGCATCATTGCATTTGCACATCAGAATGCCGGTAAAATCAGTCTCTGTATTATGAAGCATAAACTAATGTTATGGCTTGATCTTGCCTAACATTGCAAGAGAGTTTTGCCACTAATTTCCATGGGTGCAGGCCCTTTGTGATTTTAAAGAAATTCTCTTTAATTTTTAATTTCTTTAAAATTCTTTATCTGAAAAATGCTTCAGTGCTAAGCAGTTGGACTATCCAGAGGAAAGGGAATTTTCTCATTACTGCAGCAATTTACCAGCTATTTCAATCAAGTATGTCTGTAGTAGCTACCTTTTCATTCTTAACCTTAGGGAATGTCTTGCATAGAGAAGGAACCTACAAAATGAGGAACTGTGAACAAGCAATAGTAAGAATGCTTATCTGAAATATTCTGTAATAGGACTTTTAGCAAAATATAAAATGAACAGGGCTTGGAAAGCATCTTTTTATGTGGCACAGTCAGCAGAGATTGTATTAAGTAGTGTTGTCATTTACAAACCAGTTTATTTTGAGTATTTTAAATCATATTTATACAGGGCTAGATTCTGACATCCTTACTCACACTGAGTTCTCATTGGGCAGTTCAAATGACGCTGCCAAATAAGGTACTACGCCATATGCATAAAGGTGGAAGAATCTAGCCCATAATGAAAAAATGAATCAGTCTGCCAGATTTTATCAAGCTATTTGTATATATTTATTGGTTCTTTCTATAGCTTGTCTTCAACTAAAGTCAAATACGTGTTCATTTCCCCAACATAGACAGTGTACATGTGTGCATGTGTGATGTACACACGCAGTAGATAATCTAAATACATTTTTTTCATTATAGACAATGTGAAGGATAGAGGGCTACTTTTTCAGTTTTTGCTTTAGGGGGCTTCTTCATTGTCAAATCATCTACAAGTCCAAGACTTTTTATGACAGCTAGAAAGCAGACTACTTTTGAATTGCTCTTGAAAGACATATATATTTACAGAAGTTACTGTTGAATTGCTTCCCAGAATTACAAGCACTTACTGGAAAGTTGTTGGTACTGTGCTTAACATTTGTGAAGTATAAACTCATATTTGCCAAAGCCAGTGAGCCATTTCTACTTACATATTACATTTCTCACCAGAAATTTCAAAATAGATCAAAAGCAAACATGCCTCTGTATTACTAACCCCTTGAAAATCAAAATGTAATTGCATTTTTTACATTCTTGAAGTACAAATTTGATCTTTCTATTTAGCTATGTGAAAACAGTTTAAAAATTGTTGACTTATACATAACTTTCTATTTGATCACCTTTATGCTTAGGAAAATTACTTCCATAAATGGTTAACAAATCTACAATACAATTCCAACTAGAAAAAGATTGTCTGTCTGATGTTGAAATAAAATACATAAATGGATAACATCTTTTCCCACATGGACCGTATATTTGTAAAAGCATCTTACAAAACTTCCAAACTCCCATGAGCTTCAACTGGAGCAGGATTAGGCTAGCCTAGCTTTAAACCGTGCTTGTGGCATGCTTGAGAAGTTAGATGGCTTCACAGAAATATATTTACACAAAAATTCTTATTCTAAAATAGTTTGTTAGGTTCATGGACAAATGATTAAATTCTATCCTTGATTCAGCCCAGTTCAATTCATACAATATGTCAGATTATCCACTTTTGGGAAGGTCCCTTAGAAAATCAGATCACCCAATACTGCAGCCTGTACACAGGTGAAAATCACACTGACACATCTTATATATTGGATCACTGACTTAATGAGAGTTTTGCCTAAATAATAATACATAATAATAATAACAACACATGACGATTATCTAGTGCTCGTCATCTGTATATCTCAAATAAGGAGATCAGAATCTATCTTCTAATCAGTAGTAATATCTATAATTAACTTAAATCTGTGGGAATTGCACTGGTGTAACTGGGGGCTGAATTTGGTTCAGAGAGATAATTTCTGTGTAGACATACCATTGTTCATACACTGCCTTGTGCATGTGAGTAGTAAGTCTATAATAATTGCAAATGAAAGATAATTGGATCTTTATGTAAGGGTATTTGCAAAGGGGAGTCACCAAACCTAAGTAAAAAAATATCAAAAGTGTGTGCCATTATAGACTACTTCAAAAAATGAACTTCAAAATGTCTTCAAAAAGTGAACCAAGTTATATTTCCGAAAAATTATAAAACTCTTTGTGTATTTACAGAAGTTCTGTGAATTCTTTTAACATTCGTATTGGCATTGCTTTTCAGACCAAATGCTTTTTACAAACATTATCTAGAAAAGTCATTCCACGAGAGGTACCCTCAGCACCTCAAGTCCCTGCCAATATTTACTCTCTTCTTTCTTCTTTCTTTTGTTTTCATAGTCTTCCATGTTTCTGGAATTTCTCTTTCAGCTGGATGGGCTATTCTAAAAATATATTTCTCACTATTTCATTATCAGAAATCTCTGGATGATTAAAAAGTAGACTTCATATCATGACTCTTTGATCTAAGAGTAATAACCCAAGGACCTAAATGTTATAGCCTTTTCAATTACAAAAACATGTGAAGCCAGCTGTACCCTATAAACTCATGGAGGCATCATATGCCTTGCAACATGTGGTTGGTTTTGTCCATGCCTGTATCTGTTTTGATTCACACACTAAGACTTGTTTGTGTTTATTTGCATGTTTGTGTATGTGTGTGTATGTGCGTGTGTGCATGCGCATGAGCATGTGTGTGCATGCCTACATCCTAAGTAGGAACTACCATTTCGTCCTTATATTTTGTGTCAGGAAATAATTAATAGTACTCTGTGTTTGTCACAGAGGTCAAGGAAGTCTTGGAATCCGTTACTTCCATGACCTCCAGGTACTTCTGCAGCGGCCAGTGTGGCTGACCCCAGGGCTGCCCAAGCAACTGGCTCCAGGGCCAGCTGCTCAGGTGGCCCCGGGGACAGCCACAGCGGCCGCTGCTGGAGCAGCTCCGCAGCCAGCCCCGGCAGCCCTGCAGCGAGCCGCACCAGCTGCTACTGGAGCAGCCCCAGGGCCAGCCACACCGGCTGCTGCTGGGGCAGCCCTGGGCAGCTGGCCCCGGGGACTGCCAGAACAGCTGTCCCGGGGACAGCCAGAGCAGCCGCTCTCGGTGGACCCCAGCAGTGGTCCCAGCCAGAGCAGCCACTGCTCAGCGGCCCTCAGCTGCTGGAGCCGCCCCAGCTCCCCCTTATTAGCAGCCCCCCAGCAGTGGGTCCTCCAGACGTCCCCAGCAGCAGGCCCCAGCTCCCTCACAAGCAGAGGTCTCCCAGGGTGCCCCCCCTCCAAATTTTAATCAGGGATGTTTATAGTATAAGTCATGGACAGGTCACAGGCCATAAATTTTTGTTTATTGACTGTGACCTGTCCATAACTTTTACTAAAAATACCCATGACTAAATCGTAGCCTTATTAATAAATAATAACACTTCATGCCCCGTAACACCTTTCATGTAAGAATCACAAAGAGCTGGACAAACATTACTTGATTAAGCTTAAATAATTATCCCTTAGAAATAAGCTTAAATAATTTCAACATATCCGGGTAGTAAATACTTGTTTTCTGTCTTTACCCATGGGAATACATCCCGTACTTGTAAAACTACTGCAGTCACTCTCCGAAAAATTCCTGAAAAATGTATTTCCAAGAATGATGTTATAATACACTGACATATCACCATTATTGATAGGGTGAAGTGATGCCCAGAAGCAAAATAGTCTGGAGTTACTGCTTCCAGGGATGACATCAGAGAGCACCAGTATAGCAGGTATAAAAGTCTGGGTGAAAAAAACCATGGTATCCACGGGTTAATGGTATTGCTACATATGGAGATGTTCCGGTTTTTTATGACTGCATCTGCAACATCTTTAGTCTATGCATATTCTTTGTTGGACTTTGTCCTTACCCTGGTCTTCCTCAGTGTTTACTCAGGCAAAGATGTCACTCACATCAGTGAGAACAAACTGAGTAATAATCTAAGGATTTGGCCCTCTGTCAGACTAAACAGTTCGTGGTTATCAGAGTACAACACCATTGTTTCACAGTATCAGTTTGTTGGCTGGCTATCATCTGATCTGGATAACCCTTTGCATTGGTCCTTAAGTGAGACAAACCATGTTGTTGAAACTGTATGTTCTAAAATAAAATGAACACTATGTACAAATTATACATAAGGAAAGCTGGCAGCCAGTGCCCAACGATAAAAAGAATAAAGTTTGAGACATTAACATTAGGAATTAATTGAAAGGACAAACTAAGTGTTGTTCTCTGTGTTCAACTTTGAAAATAAACTATGCCGAAAGTAAATATTTCATAACATATACCTATGTTAATTACATATTAAATCAAGAAAATACATGAATATAAATGTTCCTAATTTAAGTGCTCTGACTCAGGAAATGAGAATCTTATGATACTGTTTACTCAGCTGTGCTGCATATCGTGTATATTTTATGTTATATCTTCAACTACACATATATTTATATATGACAGTTCACCTTTAAAGGAATAACAGAAATAGAAAATATAACATATGTGCAATGCAGCCAAGTTATTACTATGTACTGGGGATCGGCAATCTTTGGCCCGCGGCCCGCCAGGGTAAGCTCCCTGGTGGGCCGGGCCTGTTTGCTTACCTGCTGCATCCGCAGGTTCGGCCGATAGCAGCTCCCACTGACCACGGTTCACTGCTCCAGACCAATGGGGGCTGCGGGAAGCGGTGGCCAGCACATCCCTCAGCCCGGGCCACTTCCCGCAGCCCCCATTGGCCTGGAGCAGCGAACCGGCCAGTGGGAGCTGCGATCAGCCAAACCTGAGGACACAGCGGGTAAACAAACTGGCCTGGCCCGCCAGGGGGCTTACCCTGGCGGGCCATGTGCCAAAGGTTGCCGATCCCTGCATGGACAATCATTTTCTCTCCACTGACTTTTGAACACTTATATTCGTAAATTTAAGATTAAAGTAACTAAAGTTTTGGTGTTTTAATATCCCTGCTTGTTTTTCCTCAAAAAAAGAATTGAGAATTATTAAGTGTGAGGATCCAAGAACACCTGAGAAAAAGTAAGTAGGGCCTGTTCATGTGTGTGCAGAACACTCCCAGTTTCACTGAATAATTGAGAATGAGTGCACCTAGCAATCTCAGAAGACTGGGCCATAATAATTAGTGGTAAAATATCTCTGTCTGTAGGACCAGGCCTTGTGACCTTAAGAAAAGAACTAGTGAGTGGAAAAGTAAGAGATCCTTTCTCCCAAGGATTTTGTGGGAGTCAAAACCTCAGAGCCTGCTGAGTGCTGAAGCTAAGACCTATAAGGTTTTCCTGTCCAGTGATGAATGGGGATGACGACAGATAATTTTGTTTTCAAAAGCCTACAATTAATAACTTTGACAAATGCAGGAAAACAGACTAGAAGTGAAGATAAGATGCAGTATTACCTGAATATTGCTGACACCTCCCATAAACCCTGCATGCACTGACTGCACAGAGTACTTTTGAAAATCTGGACATATCATTTGGATACCTAAATGAGAGCTGAGCTCTTCTGAAATATCGTCCCAATTGTGGGTGCGGAATACTTAAGAAAATCTGGCCCTACATACATAAAACTAGTGATTTTGGCTACCTTAGATTGTCGGGCACTCAACATTTTGAAAATCAGAAGCACAGAACACTTCAAGTTGCCTTAAATTAGACACCCAAAAACTGAAGCACCCACTATCACTAGGCACTTCTTACAACATAGGCCATGTGTGGCTTTTTTGTTTGCCCGTTTGTTATTTTATTTATTTTTATTTTATAATCACATTCATGGTATAGATAGCAGATCCAATGGAATACCCCTCGGTGGGTTTATTAACATTCAATATTCAAGTTATATTAGGAGAAGATAGCCTTAGTAAATGTTAGATACATGACAAATCAGACTTTGATATTGTTGATCATAAGACTGTGATTTTGCACATCACATAAATCTGGCAGGACCAGGATAGTAGTCTGACTCACCAGAAGGCAACCGTTATATTCATACAGGGTGTGTCCCTCTGACAGGAGTGGGGAAATTTCTCTTGCTATTTTTCATACTGTTTGTCTTATCAAAGAACTGCTTTCACAAGATTACTCTTGCTTTAAAAACCCTTTAGTAAGCACGTGACTTATTTCCAAATATAAACTTCAACTGTTGCGGCTGTGTCTAGAATTTCTAAATTTAATTTTGTAAAGATTGCAGCTTTTTTCTGTCTGATGTATAATGAAATAAAACAAAACACACTTGAGAACATTTTCAGTAGACAGTCAGGGTTTTGGATTCACAGCACACAGTCCTCCTGTCAAAGTTCTTCAAACATACTCCTAAATATACACATTGCTGCCCAAATGGCATCCACTACACAGAAGCCTCAGTGGCAGAGAGTTGTTTAACTGTAGAGTTGGGCAGAATATGGTAATTCCATTTCACAGAGGATTTTGAGATTTCAAATTTGGTTTTATTCCAGTATGGGCTATAGCTAACTTCATTTTGCAGGACGGCAAGATTTGGATCATTCTCCCAAACTATGCCTCCATACTTAAAAAGATAGTGTAGACATACCCATAGAGTAGTAGTACCTTTCTTCTATTTCTTTGGCAGGTGACTCTGTCTAGTTGCCAAAGAGATATAGAAGAGTTTAGAACTGAATGATGTGTTTGCAACAAATAATTATTCATTTTTTATTTGTGATTTATTTATGAAAAGACCAACTCTTATTAATTTGTTCATTGTTCAGAATTATTTGACAAATGATTTGTGAGCTGATTGACTTCACCACACTTAGCTTCAGTCCCTAAATTAACATGTTTCAGCTCAGGGATGGCTCATGACCTATTCACCCAAACTATTTTTTCACTTATTTGCCATTTGTAATTAATTATAGATTCTGTTTGACTGATCACTTAAATCACATGATATTATTTCTTCTCCCTGACTGGATGATTTCCAGGCCTGCAAAAAACTTCAAAATCACCAAATGAACACTTTTGGTGTACAAAAAAAATCTGCAGGAGTATTCCCACCAGTCTCTAGGTCCACAAACAGAAAGTTGCTTATATGAATGTTTGAGGAAAGCTGGGGAAAGAGTCCATAAATACCACTGAAGCAAATTCACAGTTTTTATTGCAACAAATATTTATGGTTTTTTGAACTATCTCCCCAGTTGTTAGGAGGTTTCCTTCATTTCTTACAAGAAAGAGACAAGGTAAATATTAATTATAATTTCATGCTAATTGGTCTTCATTACAATGGACTGCACTCTTTTTTCAGAAGCAGAGGCTCCAACATGATTCAACGAGTGAATTCTTCTTACACTCACATGATTAAAAGACTGTACAAATTACTATCTGAAACACAAAGACTTCTGTTATCTACAATTTATACTTTTTTGTTTCTATTCTCACTCTCACTGAAAATTCTGCTGTCTTCCCCCAGGGCCAGATTTTGCACCACCCAGATGCAAGGAGGGGAAGAATTACGCATTGGATCATACAAGAGTTCTTCCTAGATAGCAAATTCCCCTTCCTCTTTTTTCATTAACTGAAATATGAACCAAAAAATCATCAAAACTTTAGAATTTCGACTAGATCCCTTCCTGGTTGAAAAATGGGTGGTTGAAGGGGAAATTTTCATGAAAATATTTTGTGATTTTATTTTGTCAAAATTCAAAATTTTTATGAAAACTCTAATTGCAAAAAAATCCAGCCTATCTATGCTGTTGATTGTGGTGGGCCTCAGAGATTTCTGTTAATGACCGTGATACTCTAAACACACCTGCTTTTGTTTTGGGGCAGAAACACCATCCTATAGCTTTACACTAGGTAGAAGAAAAGGATCCTGCCAAAGACATATGCTTTCAGTGATCAGAAAATAATCTTGTCTATGGATTCAGGTACAATCTATTAGATCAAAAACTTAACACATTTAATTTGGGTTGGGACTGATTTTTCTCTTTACTTTCCTCCTCTTCCCTCACTACAATACTCTTCAAATTTGCCCCATGATAAAGACCAGAATATCAGCAGGTAGAGGAGTAGTAGTAAATAGAAGTGTTATCTCTGAGCTGGCGCCATAATAAGTAAGAGATGAAACATGCACATAATTTTATCTATAATGATAGTGGAAAAAATAGATGTCCCTAAATGAACGATATTTTAGTCTGCATGGGCCTAATCTCATTTCACAGCAGCCATTGATTTTAAGTGGGCGTAGCATCAAATCCCATATGCTCTGTCTTTGTATGTTTAAAATTCGTAATAAAATATAAATGAAATAATCTATTCCTAAAGGCAGATTTTCATTCTCCATCCATTCTCATTTTGCTAGATCTCAATGTTCTTCTTGAATGCCTGAGGGACTTTCTGTTTGCCACAGTCCTAAATTGGCTTGAATCATATTTATCCAACAGTTATCTGCAGTATATTTCCAAAGGTAATTTGTGGCCTTTTGCTGGTGCACTTATTTCTTGTGCTCCGCAGGGTTCCACTTTGGCTCTGCTCTTATTCAGCATTCGTAAACTGCCTTTATGCAGGATTATTCATTGGTATGATATTGGTTTTCATTTCTATGCCGACAAGGCACAGATCTATGTGTCAACTATGTGTGCAATTTCAAACTATGCTATTACCATATTGACAAGTTGGTGACTATAAAAGCCTATATGAGCATCAATTTTCTTTAGTTAAAATCAAACAAAGCAGAGTTGTTTATGACTGGCATTTGAACTTTTAACCCATCCGTGAAATTCAGCTTAGGTTCATTGGTTAAAACCTTGTTTTGGTTTTTGATTGCAAGCTCTCCTTTAGTGTTGCATTCAGAAGATTAAGGCCTCCTATTACTTGAAATAAAAGTATTTTGCTTTGTATATTGCTCATTCATGCTTTTATCTTCCCTAGACTAGATTACAGTAATGCCTGCCTTGCTGATCTGCCAATGAGACTGTTTATCATATTTCATCTTGTATACCCAATTCTGCTTCCAGGGCACTATATTGTGCAGAGAAACAAATACATTATACATCTTGGCATCGACACACTGGTTATCTGTTACCCATGGGATCTACGTTAGCTATAATTGCTGATGACCTACAAAGTCTTTCATGAGAGGGCGCTGGTTGTATCTTGGATTTTATATTAAGATAGACTAATTAGGGGTCACATTCTGCCACCACTGAAGTCAATGAGAACTTTGCTACTGACTTCAATGAAAACAGGCTTATGCCCTATATGACCGTTGTTCTAAGTTCTTAAAGCTATGATATGAACAGCGGGAGGCACCTTTCTGCTCTTATGCCCTATGACTGCAGAATAAGTTTTTGCTCTGTATATGGTAAATTAGTTGTTATTTTACGCAATTTTTTTCTCAGCTGCAGTCTATATTTTGTGTACATTTTTCACACATTGACCCTAAGGATGCACTGCAAGATACATCTCATATGTGCTAGCTGTTGAAGAAAGTGGGTTAGATCTGGGTCTTTGCGTGGAGTTGTATGTTTTGTCAGGGTTTGGGTTCTGTTGGCTGTCAGGGGTAAGCTGCTGTTTAATTTTATTTTGATTCTTTTAATTTATGGCAGGGGCACCTAGAGCCTTGGGTAAACATGCCTCTCTATTATAAATCTAAATAAATAAATTAATAAATAAATGATTTAAATAGGCAGTTTCTCCAATACCCTAATTCCTCTTGCCTATCACCTTAACTTTTGGATAGTCCTAATCAAATCAGTGGGAAATCTTCCCAAGTAAGGTACTATTCAAAGCGAGTAAGGGTATGAGAATCTGGGCCAAAGTGATTTAACACCATATGGAATGAAAGAAACTACCATATGTGACAGAGTTGTCAGTCCACCTTGTTGTGTCACCAGACAGGGCACGTGACTTGTTGATTGATTGATGAAGTTTGTAATATATAGTTACAAAAAGGTGTGTTAAGTTACAGTTGCATGGAGCTGAGGAGTGTTCCACCCTCAGCACTGACTTTCCTTGATTTTGTTGGTTTAAATAATATATTTAACATTTCTTTTCTATGAAAATAAAGTAGACCAAAATTTAAGTGCCTAAAGGCTTTAATTTAATTTAATTAATGTAAATTAAAATTTAAGGCTCCCAAATTCGTATTTAAGTACCTAAATAAATGTGAAAAGAAACAGACAATAGCAACCTGCCTGAGATCTTAGGGATCAGGAATGTTTATTTGTTAGTTGTTTTGGGGGAGACGGTGGGATTAGAGTGTCTCATCCAATTCCTTTTGAATTTACCATTTTCTCTGGATATCCAGGCAATTGCCCAGGATTATACCAGAGGGCACCCAAAATCATGAGTCTCTGTGGAAAATGGGAAAATTAACTTGTCTGTGTGTCAAAACCTCTGGAGAAAAGTACTCCACATAAATAAGAACATAACAGCGGCCATACTGGGTCAGCGGACAAAGGTCCATCTGGCCTAGTATCCTGTCTTCTGACAGTGGCCAATGCCAGGTGCCCCAAAGGGAATGAACAGAACAGGTAATCATCAAGTGATCCATCCCGTCACCTATTCCCAGCTTCTGGCAAACAGAGGCTAGGGACACCATCCCTGGCCATCCTGGCTAATAGCCATTGATGGACTGATGCTCCATGAACGTATCTAGTTCTTTTTTTAACTCTATTATGGTCTTGGCCTTCACAACATCCTCTGGAAAAGAGTTCCACAGACTGACTGTGCTTTGTGTGAAAAAATACTTCCTTTTGTTTGTTTTAAACCTACTGCCTATTGATTTCATTTGGTGACCCCTAGGTCTTGTGTTATGAGAAGGAGTAAATAACACTTCCTTATTTACTTTCTCCACACCAGTCATATCCATCCCTTAGTCATCTCTTTTCCAAGCTGGAAAGTCCCAGTCTTATTAAGCTCTCCTCATACCGAAGCTGTTCCAGACCCCTAATAATTTTGGTTGCCCTTTTCTGAAACTTTTCCAATTCCAGTATATCTTTTTTGAGATGGGGCGACCACATCTGCAAGCAATATTCAAGAAATAGTGCCCTTGGATTTTTATAGAGGCAGTATGATATTTTCTGTCTTATTATCTATTACTTCCTTAATGATTCCCAACGTTCTGTTTGATTTTTTGACAGCCGCTGCACATTGAGTGGATGTTTTCAGAGAACTATCCACAGACTCCAAGATTTCTTTCTTGAGTGGTAACAGCTAATTTAGACCCTGTCATTTTATATGTATTATATGGATTATGTTTTCTAATGTGCATCACTTTGCATTTTTCAACATTTAATTTCATCTGCCATTTTGTTACCCAGTTACTCAGTTTTGAGAGATCCTTTTGTACCTCTTTGCAGCCTGCCTGCGACTTAACTGTCTTAAGTTGTTTTGTGTCATCTGCAAATTTTGCCACCTCACTGTTTACCACTTTTCCCAGATCATTTATGAATATGTTGAATAAGACTGGTCCCAGTACAGACTCCTGGGAGACACCACTAAGACTCTATTTTCAAACATTCACTCAATTAGTGTTTATTTTTTCAAATATCAGCTATACACATCCATACACAGAATTCTCATTTGAAACGGATCATGACATTACCCAGTTATCTCAGTCTCTGAAAGAAATAAGCACTGGCTCAAGCTTAGCCCAAGTAAGACAGACACGATGCTGGTGGCTAGGGGGAAGTATTTTTAATATCTTATAGAATCCAAGGCAACTGATAGCTTGGAAGGTGTGTAGTCTTATCCCTGGTTAACCATTTTATTACATCAGTCTTATGACAAAGTTGCATGATGGTGAGTCAGGCTTATGCAGTCAGCTTGATTCTCAGATGCACACAGATGCTCAGGTTCTAGCAGTGGCTAGAAAAAACAGTTCCATCTCCAGCTGGTTAAAAGACTAAACCCATTTCTCATGCACCAAGACCAGATCAGAGAGAGCTAGGTCTTTGCCTCTTCAAGGGTGGACTACTGCAATGCTCACTCCCTGAGGCTGATGGAAGAAGCCACAGAGAAGGTCCAGATGGTCTACCACACAATTACACATATCTTCTATGCAGAACAGGTGGATGAGAACACATCACATCTGTACTCTGCTTACAATTGTGACTCTATTTTGTAATGGTCCAGTTCATGGTCCTGGTCTTCCTCTTCAGAAGCTTTAATGGGATAGGCCCCACCTACCTAAAAGACCATCTTTCTCTCTGTAAAACTCCAGCACTATTGCAATCAACAGATATGATACAACTGACAATACATAAGATGGTTCTCATGGAGAGAGGCACCCTCCTGGGGAACCCTTAGTCACCGGTAATCAAGATGAATTCCTGTCTCGTCTCATTCAGAACACTCTGCAAGACTCCTCTCTTTTCAGAATCTGTTTGCTGTAGGCCTTTCTTTAAAAGATGGCACTTCTCTGGCTAGCAAATCCTCCTGCTCCTTTAAACTCCTGAAGAAAAACACAAACTATGAAACAACAACCCACTGGAGTTGAAGTTTAGAATATGGTCCTACAGGGGGCTATGATAGGGTGTTTACCCTACATCAGCCTCAAAAGGGTTAATGAGGCTGAGAAGAGGGCCAATTAACTTGGTAGGCCACCTCAGAGGGAAATTAGACTGGACAAGCAACTCCTGATTGGGAATTGAGCCCAGCTGAGAAGGAACAGGTAGGGCTACGATAAAATCAAAGCTGGCAACAGAAAGGGGCTGCAGTCACTTTCTAGGCTTAGATGGGAAAGGAAGAAACTATGGGGAGATTAGAGGCCCTGTGGTTCTGGCCCTGAGGGAAGGGTGTATCCAGAGGAGGGTGGGAAAAAATCCTGATAAAGGCAAAGTAGGAGCAGCCCAGGGAAACAGTAGCAAGGTTTGGGACAGTGCAGATCTTGGCTGGTGGTTGTAGGGTCCTTGGGCTTGAACCCAGAAGAGTGGGTGGCCCTGGAGTTCCCTTACCAGTCACTGGAAAAGTTGTACAGACCAGACTGTGGAGCAGCAGACTGCCTAAGATGATATTCTAGTAGGACTTGCCTACCCCAGAAGGAAAGGACTTTAGTGACCTGGCCAGAGGGCCAAATCACAAAGAGAGAGCACCCAGAGTTACAGAGAGAGAGAGGCACCAAGCTGCATGAATGAGTGACAGAAAGGGGCATTGGATGTGAGTGGAGCTAATACCCTGAGCAGCCAGGAGGGGGTGCCCCTAGTGCACTAGTCTGTGGACCCCGTGACAGGGTTATGCTGAAAATTAACACATTTTGATTCCAGTGATTTCCACACTGTAAGTACACATAGAGAGATTGATAGAGATCGAAAGTATCTAATTTACATCGTGCCCTACAAAATTTCACTTAAAAAAATGAAAGCTACTTTTAAGTAATAAGAACACACAAAATTCATTTTAGAAATATAAAACTATTTTGTTGTATTTTGATACTGTAACTTAAATGGCATATTTCTTTTGTTGTCTTTTAATTTCTGGATTGAAAAGAACAGTTTTTTACAGCAAAGTTCAAAATCACTAAAATCTAGACTTTTTCTTAGCGACACAATATTAACTACAGTATGGAGGGAGAGAAGGAGTCTTATTGTACTAAGCAAAAAGTTTAAGCAGTGACTATCACTTTAATTGTTATTAGTGATTAAATTAAAGTACTTATGAATGTTAAGATTCATTCTGGTCCATGTTGAATATGAACATGGATATTCAATAGACTTCTATGTAGTAACCCAATTCTTAAGAAGTTGCCCCAATCTTTGAGCATCTTTGGTGATAAAAGACTTTGGCTGAGATCTGAGAGCAGAAAGAAATGTGGACCCTTTTACAACATTTTTACCTTTGAAGTCTCAGGTTAAAAGTACAGTTACTATTTGCTTGCACAAGGAAAAGAATGAAGGATAAGATTGTGAATTAAAATAACAGAGAAATGACAAATGTCTTGTATGAAATACATTTCCCCAGAAAGGACAGAGTGCCAATCTCTTTGAAAATCAATTACAGTAGCCATTATTTGGAGGTCAATTATAAGAGTAAAAATAAACATCTGTATTCTTTGTTTTTAACCACTTAAGTGGGAATAATGTGTTTTTTCTCTGGAGTTTCAGATAAACTTTGTTTCATCCTTGTGGTAGAAAATGTACATGTTATCCAATCGCAACAAATTCCCCAGACTCAGCCTTGGTGTATCACATCTGACCTGTCCTCCATGCAGGCCTTTCATGGAAGCTTCTCTGTTATTCAAGATCACGCTATTCCCTCCCT